TCAGCAGGTAAATAAAACTGGCCCGGCCCGCCAGGGTGCTTACCCTGGCGAGTCATGTGCCGAATGTTGCCGACCCCTGACATAAATTAAAGGCTTATTTTATTTATTTTAAATTATAGGATGCTCTAATTTACAGTGGCCTTAACTGGGCTGCCTGTGGCCTGTTCCTCAGTACAGCATCTCCAAATGGCTGTGGAGATTACCATTAGGCCAGTGGCTGCAAGGAGAGAAGTATACAGCGTCGTCTGAGCTGGGGGAATTATCCACCAGCCAGTTGTGGTGCTTTTGCAGCCCCTCAGTCTAGAGGAATCCAGACACTTTTCCCCAGATGGTCTATCAAAAAAGAAGCTATAATCCTCCAGAGAAGAGCTAAAGTTGTGTGACAGTTACTAATTCCATGATTCCACAAACCCACTGAAAAATCATTGGCCATTGTATTTAATTGCTTTCTAATACTGAACTATATTGAAATGCATCCCTCAGGTGGGATATTTTAAATGGGATCTTATTGGATGAGTGCAGGGTTCTTTGTCAGTACATGTCAGAAAAAAACATCCCATGGCTTAAATACTCTGAGGGGAATCTTTACAAAAACACTGCACTTTTGATTTTGTATTGTAATCTCTGTCCTCTTCACTGACATGGGTATATGTGCCCCCGGCTCTGCTAGTGGTTTTCCTTATCTGCAGTTGTTTGGTAGTGGAAATACCTCAGCCTCTCCCCTGCTGTGCTGTGAACTCGAGGTGGAGCTGGCACTGTGAATAGCGGATTCACTCTGCCACGCAGACTCCAGGTCTGACTGCCCACCACCATTTCCCAATGCAGGGAAGCAAACAGAGTATGGTAACAATGGACAGCCTGAGACTGGGTCTTCTGAATATTTGTTCATGTCCAAGACCTTGGAGATGATGTCCAGTCTGCTGGACAGCATGCCTAGGACCACATGTAGTGATGTGAACCAAGTATCTGCTTGGTGCCTGCTCTAATTCTCTACTGAAAGTATTTACTGTAGGGGTTTTGAGTGTCTTTTGCCGAACAGTAAACGTAATCTTCCCTTTGTTCGTGCAGCACCATATCACTGTATCCATTTCTCAGGTACCAATCCCAGGTAGTGCTGCGCCTCTCCTCTCTCTGCTTGTACTGTAGGCAGTTTTTGCCCCTTGACACAAGTATGCCATCCAGGCTATGCTTATTGGACAAGCACTCCTACACTGTGTATAGGGCCAAAGAAATGTTCATCTCCAGCTAAAGATTGAGGCTCACCTTCATTTCTCTCTACAGCCATTCCAACTCCATTTCTTCTCTGCAGCCCTGATAACTATATTACTTCTGAAAATTGTAGTGTGTCTAGGATGTTCTTTGGAATTGCTTGAGCGGGTGAATGTGATTTCAGGCATATACAGGTTGAATTTTTATGGCCATGAAGCATTAATGGCTCTTAGCTTTTTTTAAATATTACCTTTTGTATTACCTGTATTGACTTTGTCATTTTCTTTTTTTCAGAGCTTAAAGAAGCCCAGAGGAGAAAGAAACAACTGGAAGAACGATGTAGACTGGAAGAAAGCATTGGCAATGCAGTTTTAATTTGGAACAATGAAATCTTACCCAACTGGGAAACAATGTAAGACACAGTGTTTTTATATTGTGCTTAACGGTAACTTCCTGTATCCTGAGAAGTTAAGGGATTAGTCAAGATCACTTTATTTCAACAGTGCTAGAAGCTAGTGTGTATAGCAGTCAAAGGTGACTTGCAAAGGGAATTGGTCTGTTTAAGGAAGGCATTCAGGTGGTGCTGCCAAAGATGATGGGGATTTTGTTAATTCCGTTTCCTTATTACCTTTAATAGAGTTTAAGAAATTAGACAATTCGACTGAACATAACTATGTGTATAACGTACTATTACATAGAGCCATGTAGCCATCCGTTTCCTGACTACAGTTGTAGATAGCCGTATAATTTAAACTAGCTTGAGCATATTAATTTATGGTCTCCCTTGCATATAGAATAAAACCCATGTTTGAGACATGCTTCATCACAATGACCACTTCTCTCTTACTGCTGTTAATGAAAAGTAGTGAGTTTCTGAATCTTGCTTTAGTTTTTGGTGTGGGAATTTTAATTCCTGTCCATTTCTTCTAACCTTTTCAGCATGTTGTATACAGCTGTGATGTTCAAAAATAATCTAAGATCAGGGAGTGGTTGGTGACTGGGACCTCTGTTAGAAAGCTACTAGAAAACGTAACACTTATAGCCATCCATTTGTCAGGACTTGGTTCTCCATGACTGCTTGGGCTTTTGATGGTGTATTCCCAGATGTGTCTGTAGATTTAAGCACAGGTATGATGTTACTAAGCCTCTTAATTTACAGTGGGATACACCATGTATGCCAAACCAAGTGGCGACGGGGGGAAAATACGGAAAACAATAGTAAAAAAATTAAAATAAAACCTCCAAACCCCTCTTTTCAGAACTAACACTTTTTAAAAGACACAGTGCAGGCAGTTAGCATGCCTAAAAACATCAATGTCTTGCCTACCATAACAGCTACATTCAGCTGTTCACGTTTTTTAAGGGTTTTATTTGTTTCATTTCTCCTTATTTGACTTTGAATGGAACTTTTACTCCTGGGGGAATTGTGTGGCAAAAAAATTAAAAATTCTGTACGCAATGTTTTAAAATTCTGCATATTTTATTTGGCATGATTATATTGTGTTATTTTGACAGTTTCAATTATTTTGGTAATTTATTTCAAAGTATCTGCCAGCAAGTATATCTATAACAATACAGAGGACAAAAAAGATTCAGGACATGTTTTTTGACAACTAGATTCCTTATTAGGCATATTAATACAGAATTGTGAATAAGAATTCATTTAAACTACAATGCAGAAACATATTTCCTGCATCCCTCAGAAGCAGTGCAAAGGCTTGGGGGGACTCCAGGGTATTGGAGGAGCTGAGGGAGAGGAAAGTAGTTGCTGGGAAGGAGCCTGGGAGTGAATCTGGAGGCTTGCTGGGTTTGGGTGGGAGAAGTATGGAACAGGGTAAAGGGGAAGGGAGGGATTGTTAGGGAGTTGGGGAGCCTTCCCCATGCAGACCCTGGTTGACCCCTAGCCTCTCCCAGTCAGGCACATCTTTCTCTGTCCCATGTGTCCCTGCACCCCATGCCCATTCATCCCCTGCCCAGTCTGTCCCCTCCATTAGTTTTTCTGAATAGCCGTCTGTGACCACCCCCAGCAAGCTCATGTGCCCCATTCTCTTTCTCTCTCATTCCCCACCCCCCCCCTCCTTCAACCCCCGCATCCCATGCCTTCTAACCTGGACCAGTGGCCTTCTAACCTGGACCAGTGGGCAGGGCACTGTGAGAAACGCTGCTGGCTGCTACTGCCAGTGAGCCAGCTGCTCTCTGTTCTGGTGTCACAGTAGCCCTTGGTGGGCAAAAGGCGTAACTGCAGCACCTCTCCAGCAGAATGTATTTTCTGCAGAGGGAAAAAAAATCTGCGGGGGACATGAATTCTGAATGTGCACAATGATGCAGAATTCCCCCACAAGTAAAGTAAGCATGATCGTACCAAATAAAAGATTAAAAACATCCTGGGCAGCTGTGTATTGAAATGTGTCGGGTACTTGATGATGAAGGAATTTCTAGAGAACTGAAAGAAGAAATTAAAAACCAGTTAAAAATTTAAATCTGTTTTAATAGTTGAAAGAGTCCTAATTTTACTTGTCTCTCAAACTCTTGTTTTCGACTGACATTTGTAAAAGAAAGCAGTCAATCCCACCAACAAAGGCTTTGAAAGCTTACCATTTCTAGTTTATACCAAAGCATAACATAGACTTTTGGTTAGTGCCTTTCTTGTCAATTTACTGATCCTTAGAAATGTGAAAAATGGAATATTGTGATCAAAATAAATCCATTTGGTTCAGTGGTTAATACAGCAGTCTGCTTTTAAGTGAATATTTTTCATGGTTTTGCCTCCCCCTTAAGCACACTTGCCCCTGGTGGTCGAATGCTTCCCCAATCTTCCTTACAGCAGCCTTAGGATTATTGGCCATCAATTTAATATGGTTTAGAACTGTTTCATTTAAATGTTTTTGACTCTTGCTGTCTCCATCTCCAAATTTGCTACTTCACGTGTTGCAGCCACGTAAAGTGCTTTTTGCCCCTGGAGAGTCCACGCAGCTTAACAGTTGGAAAATTTTCATCTCATGGGCAGGGTTTTGAATGGGGGAGAAGATAATCTTTTATCACTGGAATGGAAAAATATTTTATACTGCAGACCTGGGTTTGTCCAGACTCTAGTTCATGCGATGGAAAATCAGGGATGACTTCTTCTCCTAATCCTCCCTCCCCACTTGCGCACTTTCTGTCTCTGTCTCTCTCACATTGGCCCATATAGAGTGGCAGATTTCTAGCAGTCTTGGTTGCAGGGTTCCCGTCAAAAGCCTTCAGTTTGAGGAAGAAGATAATATTAAAACAAAGTTCAAAGTTTAGATAGTACAAAAGCATGAATGAATGCTGCACAATCCCTGTTTGATTTCTCAGGGGGCCCATGGCAGGCTGACCTACACCTGGGCCTGAATCCTCCAATGCAGTTACAACACCTTCTCCTACCTATAGTTCAGTATAACACATTTTATTTTAAACAGGTGCTGCTCCCGTAAAGTTCGAGAATTGTGGTGGCAAGGTATTCCTCCAAGCGTGAGAGGCAAAGTCTGGAGCTTGGCAATCGGCAATGAGTTAAATATCACCCATGGTGAGACTGACATGTATTCTGTCTGCATTTTGAGACACTGATCAATAAATAAATCATGCTTTAGCAGAGAGACTTCCATTTAGTTAGAATGTGTCGGAACTTGGGGGAACGATGAAGTCATGGTCACTTGTACTTTGCTTTCATTTAAGGATACCATGTGTTTTGCTCCACAGTGCATACAGTCTTTCTTATTCCGCATGGGGTGTTTAATTTTGGGGGTGTTCTAGGAAATTTTTTTTATTTTTATTCCACTGCTCAGTCTGAGTCATAGACCTGGAATATTATTGCTGCGCATTGCTTTGATAAATAAAGATGTTCAGAGTTAACAACCCCATTTCAGAGTCAACAGAAAATAAGATATTTCATATAATTACTGTTAATTATGTAGTGCCTGTGGGTGTGCACATACTGGTTTTATTCTGAAGTGAGACACTTGGTTTGTGAGTAAAGGAGAGACTAACTTGGAAACAAAACCTGGTATGGAATTAGTCCTCTTTCCCGCATGTTCATTAGTGATGATATCAGTAATACATTAGTCTGTTTCCTTGATTTTGTACTATGTTATTTTTTCAGTCTTTTTTTTTTTTAAACCATTCCAAAATGGTGACAAAAGGGGAAATGTTGTGGATTTGCCTATATTCTTGTGGTTTCCTTCTACTGCATATGCCTTTTCTGTGGCTGTTTAGTGTACCTCAGAAATTGCTATAGGATGGAATTGGAAGAGTTTGTGAGCTAATTGTCATAGTTCTGGGTGGAATTTTGAGTGGCAGAAGTATGTTACCCAAACAAATGCGAAGAAATATTTATATAATCAGTTCCACCCAGAGGATTACGTCTGCTCACTGCATCAAAATTATACCCCGATGAAACAAAGCTTCCAGCACCCTAACTTACCTAAAATTCAATTATTTTTTTTATTTTACAGATACTTACTTTATTTCTTATTGCGGGGGGGGGAGGTAGGGGTTGTTAGCATGCCGACATGTAATCAGTAATTGAAGATGGATTTTAAAAAGTACTTGTTTTTCAGAACTCTATGATATTTGCTTGGCTCGTGCCAAAGAGAGGTGGCGATCACTTAGCACAGGAGGCTCTGAAGGAGAATGTGAAGGTATGTTTTATTTGGCAAAATATTATTCCATATTGTGTGATAACTTTCTTTTCATTACCAAATGAAGAGGCGGTGGTTTTAAAATCATTCCTAAATGTTAAACTAAAATAATACAGTTTAAAAAGCTGGAAGAAATATCAGCATAGTAGGTGTGGGATGTGTGGTTGGTAAAGGGGTATTAAAAACACTTCTGCAGGAGGGTAAAAATGTTTTTAAATGAAGTGTTAATCTCTTGCATGCTGTAGTTGACTTCATTATTTTCCTTTTTAAAGTATCTTTAAATTCAGTTGTCTATAACTAAAAAAAAAAAAATTAGTTTCGCAAAACCTTCCTTTACCAATAGCTTAAAGATTTGTGGATGAGTGGCTTAAATAAATTTTAGATTTGCTGTTTGTGTTGTAATACCTTAAGATGTGTTGCTTTCTCTTTCTCTAGTTCGGGGATCTAAATTCTTTGAAACTTTAGTAATAGCAAATTGCTTTCTTAATAGCTCAGTGTAACATTACTTCCCATGAGAGAGCTTCAAGCCTGTTGTTACAGACTCAGCATGTTGAGATTTTCCAGTTGGTTGGGTGTGGAGAGAAGAGATGGGGGGACGGGGGGAAATCTGGGTGCTTGAAATAAAATACTTTAATCTGCTAGGATGACCACCTCTCTAAGGAGACATGTTGAGCAGAACCATGAGTGCATTATACAAGGGCATTTCACAACGAAGTGAAAATGTTTCTTATGGGAGTCTCCACGTTCCGTTCTACTAAAATATCTTATTTAGAATACAGGGATGGTATCTAATATAGTTTTTTAGCTTCTTTGACTATTCATTGTCCAGAGTGGATATCAACATGTGGTTAGTGTAAGTGCTAGGTAGCAGCAACTTGAATCTTGCCTTCACTGCAAAAACCCAGGCAGTTAGAGTTGATGATGATACTCAGTAGGAAAGACAAAACATGAATAGATAGGAATGTTTGGACACTGGAGGTGGGGGGGAGGGAAGAGTTCATGTTGTAGGTGCATGTTTTCTTTGCTTAAAATTCATTTAAAAAGTTGCTGGGGGAATATTACAATTCTGCATCATCTTTAAATGTAAACGCAATGGCAAATTAAATGTACAGAATACCAAATTTACTCGGTGTGTGTGACATGGGATCACTTTTTTCACGTTTTTTGCAGAAAATTTACTTAGGTGCCTTCCAAAAAACCTTTAGCAAGAAGTTAGAGGTGTGGGACAGAAGTTGTCAGCCCCTATATTTCAGTTACCCTTATGCAAAAACAATCTTTTTCAGAGAGGTTACTTGCTCTGCAGGCCCTTCAAAAGGAGGAATACTGCAGGCCCTCGGCATCCTAGAGTATGGTACACAGGTTTGTGTATGCCCCCTGACTTGGCAGTAGTACTGTTACACAACCGTTAACATCTTCTCTCTGATATCACTGCATTCAGACTTATTCAGGAATAACCTGCACTATGGGACTGCTTCAAGCCAGAGTGTGTGTGTGTGTGTGTGTATTAAAAGGTGTTAAACACTGTAATTTTATTTTGATTTCTGCAGATGCTGGATTTTCTGCAGCAGACAGGGAAGCAAGTCTGGAATTAATAAAACTGGATATTTCTAGAACATTTCCCAATCTCTGTATTTTCCAGCAAGTAAGCGATTTAATTTTTAATCACACAATATTTTTCAATGTACACTTAAGTAGTAAAAACAAATTTTTGAAAAGTTTACACTGAAATAGGTTTTTTTTATGTTCTAAATGTTTGTAGAAGAAGTCTTCTTTAGTGCAAACTTGCATGTTGGTATTTAAATGTATGAGTAGTTTGTGGTAAAATTAATATCTGGTGTTCCTGAATGACAAGTATAAAGGATTTCAGCAGAGTCTAAGACTGCTCAGTGTAATGTATGGCAACCTGTAAGACTTCTCAGGACTTGAAATTAACATAGTTTTTATGGGAATCCTCCTTAATATGTTGCGACTGTTCTTGCTATCCCTTTCTTCATGGCTCAACCCTACTGCTAGTCTAATAGATAGAGCTAAACCAACTTGATTAGTGTTCGGCTTTCTTGATACTAATATGTAACAATTCATAAAGCTGTAGTGAATTTCTAATGCTTGTGTCCTTTTGCACTTTGGTCGTTAACCTGTTGGATGAACTGTATGCATTTGGAATAAATAGGTGTGGGAAGATGTTCCTTAGTGACATTACAGTGATGCATTCCATATAAAAGTTGAAAGAGTTTAAAAAAAAATTTCAAAGCAGTCTAGGGCAGGAGTTCTCAAACTTCATTGCACCGTGACCCCCTTCTGACAACAAAAATTACAACATGACCCCAAGACGGAGGACTGAAGCCTGTCTGAGCTCCACTGCTCCGGGCGGGGGGACAAAACCCGAGCCCCACCACCCTGGGCAGGGGGGCCTGTAACCTGAGCCCCACCACCACTGAAGCCTGAGCCCAGGGTAGTGGAGCTCAGGCTTCTGCCCCTAGCAGTGGGGCTCAGACTTCAGCCCTGGGTCCCAGACAGTCTAAGGCCAGCCCTGGTGACCCCATTAAAATGGGGTCACGACCCACTTTAAGGTCCCAGTCCACAGTTTGAGAACCACTGGGGATTTGGAAACCTCTTTTATTAAAATTAATGGAATATGTGTCTAAGGGTATGTCTACACAGCAAAGAAAAACCCAAGGGGCTTGGGCTGCAGGGCTGTTTCATTGTTGTGTAGACTTCTGGGCTCCAGCTGGAGCCCAGGCACTAGGATCTTGTGAGCCCAGAAGTCTACACAAGAATGAAGCAGCCCCAAAGTCTGAGCCTGAGCCCAAGTCAGGTGGCACGGGCCAGCTGTGGGTTTTTCTTTTGCTGTGTAGACATTCCCTAAATCCTCTACACAGCTTAGGAGTTTCTCACAGATTGTGAATTATTTACAGAAGCTGTATGATTTAATTTTTTTATTTTTCATTTATAGGGTTGGTCCTTACCATGACACATTTGCACAGTATTTTAGGCGTCC